CCAGTTAAATGGCTGTCATATTTGATCAAGTTATTTATAATTCCCTCAAGCATGATGGAGCATCATACAGTGACTCGATTTCTAGGTTATTTATCTCCAACAAAACCAAAATTTCTGTTTCTGTGTTGTTTTTGATGTAGATTTTTCTGGTCTGTGGCTGCAATTCGCTTTTGGCCGATTTATTTTTTTGCCGCCTGGTCACACATTGTGGCAACAACTCTTAAACTGGCTGCTTATGATGATGCACTTATCACTTCTTTCACAGTATTGGAATTCAAAACAATCAAAGACGATGCACTCAACAAATTAATTTAGATGACGATGACATATCCATTATGAATAGAGATATAGTAGATTATACCACGAGTCAATAATGATAGCTATTATTCCCGAGGATTATTACGAACTGAGCCGCGTTAGCGGCGAGGGAGTAACATTCCGAGGGAATAATAGCCATTATTGCGAGTAGTATACTCTACTTTATTTACGAAAAATTACAAGTTTGACACTGACACTTTTGTGGAATAATGACCATTAATCCCGCTACTCGTCATTAATCCCTGGAGGAATAACATATGTCATTATACTGCCAAAATCACAAATATAATACGCACATTATACATTAGTCGTAAATAAAATACTATATAAACTGTCGAGAATGGAATCTCATGGCGTTCCGATTGGTAGATTCAGTGCGCACTGAGTGTATTTGCATCCCTTTAATCGACCTGTAGAAGAAAAAGACAGAAATAGGAAAAATTGCACTAGTTCCGCACTAGATCTACCAATCGGAAACGCCATCAGTGTAAATTTTGTTGTCAACAAAATTGAGCCAAGCCAGCGCCATCTACCATATTGGAAACTCACTATTTACTGGTTTTGCATCGACGCTACAGACACCTACTTTACATAGGGCTTCAAGGCATTTTTATGAAAGATGGCGCTCTGTTCGCATTACAGTCGGTCTGTTCAAATTTATTTATTCTAGACTTTGGGACATTAATGTTTGCTTAAATTAATTGATGTTTTGTTAATTAGATCAAAAGACAGTTCCTTTATCGATGGTTGGTTAAAGATATCCTTAACATATTTATTCAAAGTTCTGATTGATGTTTAATTGAACCTGTCATTTATCTAATCAACAAAGATAAAAATAGATCTTCCAATCTGTAAAGTTTGAAGTTCTTCTTGAAACACACAAAACAACTTTGAAATCACTTAAGAACACTTGACAACACAACAAAAGATGAAATGCAAGACCGGCGAACAAAAAACATTATGAATTATTAGTTATGATCAAATTAATATTTTGGCATATTGTCATATGTTGACATGTCAGTTATCGACATCGGACGTGTTTTTGATGTGCTAGTATTTTCCAATTTTGACAATTCTGTGGTTCTTAGCGACATCTAGAAAGACGGAAAAGAGTTATTATGTGGTTTATAACTGGCAATGAGAGATCGCAAGGCCTGTTGATGTTTAATTGAACCTGTCATTAATCTAATCAACAAAGATAAAAATAGATCTTCTAATCTATGAAGTTTGAATGTCTTCGTGAAACACGCAAAACCACTTTGAAATCACTAGAAACACTTGAGAACACAAAGAAAGACGAAATGCAAGACCGGCGAATGAAAAACATTATAAATTATTAGTTATGATCAAATGAATATTTTGGCATATTGTCATATGTGGACATGTCAATCTTATGTGAATGTTATCGACATCGGACGTGTTCTTGATGCGCTGGTATTTTACAATTCTGTTGTTGTCAGCGACATCTAGAAAAACGGAAAAGAGTTATTTTGTGGTTTATTACTGGCAATAAGAGATCGCAGGGCCTGATTATGATGTTTAAATGGACCCGTTTTTATGACTGGTTTTTATATCCACCATTCTATGTAGGTAGGTCATTGTCATTTTCTATTCACTAAACAAAGGTTCTGTGAAACAAAGATAGCTAACTCATCGGTGAAGTCAGAGATTAAAATGAAAACGAGGGGGACGTTAAGTAACAGCGATATGGGCGCACAGCGGTGTAGTCACGAACTAAAACAAAAAGTGGAGGGGATGAATCCAGTGAATGTTCTATTTAAGAATTTATAAATCACTTTTCTATGGACGAATCCACATGAGCTAGACAACAGATATTCCGATTCATGTTGGAAACAAAAGAAAAATGAATTAAAAGATACACTATGCTCTCGTTTCGTAGAGTACAATAGTTAAATTCTTGACGCAATCAGCTTTTGGTAATTTACTTATGAGAAATTTGGCATCCTCGCATTTCTGGTACTCTGACGTCACAGTCCTTCAATCATAAAAATCATATACACATGAGATGTTATTACAATAATTACTAATTTAAATGTTTTTCTTTGACTATTTCACTAGAGTGTATATTACACCGGCAATAAATTCGGTATTCAGCTGACAATATTCTACCTGGACAATGCCAACAACATGGTATTTCATATTTCAGCGACCATTTTTTAGCAATTTCGCTCATGACATTTTTGATAAAATCACTCGCCTAACGGCTCGTGATTTTGTCAAAAATGTCATTATCTTCGACATTCGCGAAATTGCCAAGCAACAAAACTTTCATACCAGCCGAAAATTTTGCCAACAAAATATTTTCTCTTGTGGTATTATACAGAGTTAGTAAAAAGTACTGCAACACTTAAATATCTTCAAAACTGCTTAAGCCGCGTTCATACAATTCGGAAACTGACAGTTTTCGGGCATGCGGAATTCAACAGCGCTATTGGCAATGTTGCCAGATTTCCCAGTTTTACGCTACACGTAGTCTTTTTGTCATCTTGAATAGAATGCTCGATTTATTTTTATTGTAATGAATTAATTGGGCGTGCCAAATTTGATAAGGTTCCAAACTTTCAGAATTCTATCTCTACTGGTTGCTGAAATATGACAACACCGTATTTTCGGTGAAAAGTATAGCAACGCTTAAATATCTTCAAACGCCGCTTAAGCTCGTCCACTAATGGCTGTTTCCACCAACTATTTTAGGGAAGCCTTAACGATAAGTATTCCCTAAACTGATATTTCTCCATGGAAAACTGTCAATTTAGGGAGGCTTTCCTAAAATAATTGGTGGAAACGGCCGTAAATTCGGTATCTGGGAATTTATGGGCAAGCGAAATTCAACTGTGATATCGGCATTGTTGCCAAGTTTCCTAGTTCCGCGCTATACGTAGTCTTTTTGTTATCGTAAATAAAATGCCCCATTTATTTTTATTGCAATCAATTGGTCCAAATTTCAATGAGATTCCAAACTTCAATGTGCTGCTTGTACTGTTATTAGATACTACTATTATAGTGAGAATGATTCTGGGATAGTTTATACCTACCTATTTCAGGAAATCGGGAACGCCCGCAAATATGAATACCTCATGAACAAGTAACGTGTATTATTAAAAAAAAAAAAGCCACGTGCAAGACTACGTGTTGCGCGAAACTGGGAAACTTGGCAACAATGCCAATATCTTAGTTGAATTTCGCTTGCCCATAAATCCCCAGATACCGAATTTAGTGGACGAATTCTGAAAATTTGGAATCTTATCAAATTTGACACGTCAAATTTATTGCAATAAAAATATGTGGAGCATTCTATTCAAGATAACAAAAATACTACTTGTAGGGCAAAACTGGGAAATTTGGCAACAATGCCGATATCACGGTTAAATTTCACTTACTCAAAAACCCCTAGATTTTACCAAATTTCGTGAACGTGCTTAAGCAGCGTTTGAAGATATTCAAGCGAAAGAAAAGAAAATTTGTAGTCTTATCAAATTTGGCACGCCCAATTCATTGCAATAAAAATAAATGGGGCATTCTATTTCAGATAACAAAAACACTACGTGTAGCGCAAAACTGGGAAATCTGGCAACATTGCCAATAGCACTGTTGAATTCCGCGAATTCCGCATGTCTAAAAACTGTCAGCTTCCGAATGTGTGAACGCGGCTTAAGCAGTTTTGAATAGAGATATTTAAGTTGCAGTACTTTTTACTAACCCAATATGAAAATAATGTGAAAATATTGCCTGGTTAGTCTGAAAGGAAGTTCTTTCTCATTTTTCAGCTTTGCTTTGGTGCCACCCTTGTATCATTATTAACTATTCTACATAAATTTGATTAATTTAAAATTAAGAAAAATATATCCGAGGCCCGGAAAGAAACCATTTTGAATTAGCGCCACCAAACGACGTTACTACAAAACTCCTACAATAGTCGAAAAAGCCCATTACAGGGATCTTTCTTTTGTATCATTAGGTTTATTTTAAATTGAAGGATATTTCTAGTTTTCTTCAAAGTAGGACAATGGTAAAATGTGTTTTTTTTTTTTTTAAAGATAATTCCCCAAGTCAAAAATTTAGTAACTATATTGGCTAGCCTTTTCTACATAAAAAATTTGAAAGCATTGACAGTTCTACATTGTATTGCCAACATATTGTCATTTTGACTTTTATCTTTAAAAAAAAAACAGACTAATGACCATTTGCACCGACCATTTTAAGGGAGGTTTAATGATAATCAACGTTTAAAGTGACATTTTTACATGCAAAAATGTCATTTTAAACTTGGATTATCCTTAAACCTCCCTTAAAATGGTCGGTGCAAATGGCCATTAGTAATTTTTTTGTTTTATTATTATTTGATTAAAAAATATTGAATAAAGAAAATATTATTGGGGCTCGGGGTCATTTACTTACCAAACTTGCATATAGATGTCGCTAGCTGTCAAAATATTCGAAATTCGAAGAACTTTCATGCGACATTAATAAAATAAATACATAGTAATTTACTAATTAAGTACAGACAAAAATATTAGTAAAATGCACTATTAATTATATAGAACAGAAATACTAAAACTTTTTTATGTAATTATTTCTTTTGCGCTCTTCACTTGGTCTAATTGATATAGGTGCATTCGCCATGATGACCAGAATTGGCTATTGACTGAAATATTCAAAATTTATTTTAACATATTTTTCCATTTATTTCATTATAAAAAGCTAAACATACATTTCAAACATAAAAATATTAATTTATCTGTGCTCTTTTAAATTTTTTCAAGAATAAACTACAGCCGAAACATTTTTTTGATTCCTATAACAAACTTGTGAATTTTTCATTAACAAAAATAACGATGCATGCTTGGCATGAGTGATTGCACAAAAGACGATGTATTTATATAAATGCGGACGAATGAATGATATTTATATACATCAAAGCGAATAAAGAGGGACTTTGTCCAATGATTAAAGCTTATCTGAAGCAAGCGCATAACTTATTTACAACGATTTCACACTCTTTTACAAAAGCGGTATCTCTTTTGGAGGATGATCGTTGCTGACAAGCCAACTGGTACCGCTTTTGGCACTCTGAATAACCTCCACGAGAGCTTTTCCAAGTTTTTCAGGCCTAAAACACAAAATTGTTCATTTCATAATTTATCAGCTCCTGTTCCAACAGACATGAAAACTGTTCCAGAACCAGTAATTTCTAGTTGCCCATTGATCGACTGATAATTACCGTTCTAGAACCGTTCTCATGTCTGTTGGAGCAGAACTATAAATTTCAACTTATTACTTTACTGGAACGGAGCAAGAAGTGTCTCTGAGCCAAGCTTGCTCGTATTCCCCGCTCAGAATTCTTTTTCTAGGGTCGCCCCCGATTTCTGACTCTGTCGGAGTGGGACACAGAGCTACAACTTTGATTCCTGTTAGATTTACATGGTAAGCGTCTCCATAACAGCGAGTCAGGGCTGCTACCGCGTGTTTTGTTGCTGTAAACACCTGGAGAACATCAAAATTGGACTATAAGTTGAAAATAGAGCGCGAAAAAAGTTTTTTCATAGTCCTAAGAGGCCAAAATATTTGTTTTTGAATGTTAGAAAGTGATGTAAGAGCTTACTTACTATACATACCTACTGAGCTTTAAGTATGGAACATCTCAATTGAGAACGTCAATAATTGAGCAGATGTTCCATACTTAAAATTCAACCTGTATAGATACATATGATATACAATAAGCAAAAAGAACAAGGTATGCTTAGACTTTTCACAGTTGCTATTTGGCAAAAATCAAGCTTCAAATTCTTACTGGTAAAGACACCAAAGGAGTTTTGCAACAACTCGATCCGGCATTGACCACAATCCCTCCCGGGCCGCCTCTGTCTTTGCCCAAAAATCTAAATGCAAGTAAAAGACCTCTGATGACGCCGTTCTAAAATAAAACAATTATAAAAAAATCTTAGACCAAAAAACAATAATTATTTTACCAAATTCACATCAACTTCCAACTCCCACAATCTATCGTTCATGACTGCGGCGTTGTTAATGACGATATCAACGCCGCCCAGTTGGGAAATTGTTGTTTGAAAGGCTTCTGGAATTGAGTTTTAGATTATTACAAAAAACAAAAATGAAAACATTTAACTCACCCTCGAATTGCATGTAGTCTGTAACGTCGCAGGGGATGTAAATCACTCTATCTTTGACGTTTTTTGATAGTTGGTGCAACAGATCTTCGCCGGCGTCAGCGTTAATGTCACATATTGCAATCTAAAACAATTATGTATTATTAAGATTTTCCCTTATACTAATTGATTAATTACCTTGCAGCCTTGTTTGAACAACTCCTTGCAATATTCTCTTCCGTGTCCCGAGGCACCGCCAGTCACTAGGGCCACTTTGCCTTTTAAATCCATAATTTTCACGCCCTTTTTTTTTACGATACTTAAATAATCTTCAAAATTTTAAACTTGGAACGTGTGAAAAAGACACAATAATATTTGTTTTGCCCTTTATGAGAGAAAGGATTGAAATTATCGTCTCTGGCGGTGGTTGAAGTGAGTCAAATGAAGGGACCGCACCCTCGAGCGTCGCGACGGATATGAGAAAGGGCGTCTGATTCAAAGGGTGTACCTTTACAGGGAGCATACAGAAAATAATGATTTGTGTGATTTTTTTATGTAAATGTCTTTTCATCCAATATAACTTTCATTAATAAAAATTTTAAAAAATTACATATTATTTGAAATAAATTAATGGTTCGTACCTTTTAGATAATTATTTAGACTCACATAATATCCTTGATATTTGAATCACTAGTTTTGTTACAAAATAGTTTCCTCGGTACTCCTCAGATTTTCTTTTTACTATTCATTTTTTTGAGTTGATTGAGATTTCATTAGTTATGTTCGTCAATAGATCTTATGAATTATTATCTTTATTTTCAAGCAGTTCTAATTTTGATGAAAGTCCACATTTCACACATTACACATGAAATCTTCGTGATTTACGTAACCCTTGCATTATACATATAGAAGAGTTTTCCAGTTTGCAGGTGGATTAGTAGAAATAGCATCTAATTCACCTGCAAGCTAATGCACGTGTTACGTGAATCTAAATTACCCTGTATATATAGGTACCTCCTTAGTAGGAATAATAAGACATACCTCCCGAATGATTCCAACACTCGCCTTCAACTCGTGTTTGAATTTTCATTCTCGTGAATAATAGCATTTATGCTCGTTGAAGAATATACCTACTATTAATTAATTTGGGTTAATGCTAATTTGTTTCATTATTTTTCAACTTTATTGATACTAATTTGAAATATTGGAAAGTCAATATGTCATTTTATTCAAAGGCAATTAAATGTATGCAATAATATGTTCCATAGTCTAATCACTCAAGTTAATAATATTTATGCAATAAAGTTTCAAAGTCAATTCACTTCATAGTCATTTTCATCATTGATAAAGTCAAAAATAAAAGGTTTTCTTCTTTCTTACTTCGAGTTATTTACTGTAATTTTACTTTTCCGCGAGACCCGACTTTGTATACTTGAGATAATTCTCCACTTCTGAATAGGTACTACTAAATTCTTGAGTGTAATTCTCGCATTGAGGTAGAATTCTCGATAACTGATTGATGATTTTTTTTAATTTCTATTGATTAATTAGAGTTCGCACATAATGTTGAATGAATTTAAATGTTCTTTCTTTCACAATTTTCCGTTACTTTTTCAAAGTTCGATTAAACCCGTTTTCCCAAGGCAAAAAAATATAAAAAACTATTATCCGGACTGACTCATTAGGTAAGTACTGTAAACTTAACGGTACGATACATTTAATCTTAATTGAACATGTGGTCCATGTGGAACTTAACTTACTTCTAGTTTTACTGAAGTAATCTCCGTGTTAGTCTTATTTTTGACGTTACCTGTAACAGTAGCCAGTGCAAAACGTTAGTTTTCAAAGCTCAAGCTTATTATTAAAAGTTTTGTGCGCCTTCTACATGTGTCATCCAATTTCACAACTTTCGTTTCAGTTTCGGTCAAGTGATGGCAACTTTAGAATCTTAAATGTAACTTATGGTATATTATGATGTCATTTTTCATTAGAAAATTAAATTACAAAATCGGCAATGCCATATTTGTTAAGACTTTGTTAAAAAAAAAAATTACTATGTGGAACATTCGATTCGATGACGTGTTCCGAAGTTATCACCTGCATGGGTAAAACCTCGTATATACCCTGTATACAGTTATATATTTATATTACAATACACTTTATTGGTTCATATACATGTATACATAGAGAATAATAAATTTTAAAAAATATATAAAAAAATGGGCCCCGGGAAAATCCTTGCCTTGGGGCCCCGAATTTCAAGTTACGCCGCACTGGAAGACCCAAGTGGACTGCAGACTGAAGACTGATTCAAAACTTCTAAAACCGCTGTTTTTATATTTTTCGATCCCTCCAAAAAAATTCCTATGTCCATTCATTAACCTTCCTCTTTTATGTGTTTAAAACCCAATATGTTGTAATTTCCTGAATTATCGGGGTCAACAGATTTCGTATAAGAATGTGTCGGGCGTGAATCACCAAAATCGACAATATGGGGCGGTCGTTTGACCATCTGTAATTCAATTCTATTGGTCACACTGGCGTAACTATCATAGGGCAGTTCGGTGCATTTGTTATAAGTACCTATTTTATTAAATTCGATATAATTTGAAAAAAAAAATGTTATTAAATGACTAGAAATTGTAGTACAAGTTTATAATAAAACGTTTTCCGTTAACAACCTAATTTTAATATAAATAAATAAATAAATAAATAAATACAAAAAATAAAAAATAAATAAACTAATTTTAGGTTGTCGATCTTGTCTGTCTCAGAGGGCCCCAAAATATCTTGCATTTTATTGATTGTATATTCTTCTGTGCAATCCCGAATCTCAAGATGGAGTGAGGAGAAAATTGCGGAAAGCTCATGCCTTGTTGAATAGAGAAGCAAAGTGATAATAGATAAGTAAACTCCAAGCAGAGCTGCAACCTCTCAGAAAACTAAATCTTTTTTTTTTTTTATTAAATCATTTTAATGACTTAAGTCATTTGATTTCAAGTCATTTCTTGAAAGCTGACTTAAGACTTAAAATTTAAGTTATATTCGAAATGATTTGTGACTTAAATGTTTTTTTTTCCGAAAAAGAAAAAACTTAAGTCATTATTTAAAAGACTTAAATCAGTAATTCTTTTTTTCTACTACCATGTGTACCTACCTATAAAGGACTCACTCTACGGTTTACGCACTATTCAAAAGACCTATAATTTCACTTCACGCGCTAGTGCGTGAAGTAAAATTCACTTTACACACTAGTACGTGAAGTATAGTGTCAATGGCAGATGTCAACATTGTCAATAGCACTAGTACGTAAAGTGGTAAGGTAAGCGATATGTGTGTAAAGCACCTTTTTTCATTCATGTAATTGTCAAAATTCATATTCGTGTATTGGTTCACTTTACGCACTTGTTGCATGAATTGTTATTTTGAAGGCCTAAAATAGACCTATTTGCACGGGATAAAAAAGGAAGGAGGAAAACCGCGTGACATGCAACGTATTTGTCAATCAAAAACACAAACAATTGAAAATCGATCACTTGTCAAGCTACGTCAAGATGAATATCAAGCATAATTTTATCCTTGTGAGACCACGGGCAATAAACAAGGACAAGGAGATGCCCAGCGTGCAAAAGGATTACTTCACACCTGTATTAGTTAGCCAATAAAAATGCATTGCCTCGTGTTGCGCGTGCATACAGGTAAAAATAGATAGGTCTATTAATGTTTTTGGACGTCGCACCCAAAAATGGCGCTGTGGGTAGGGGGTTAATCTGATCAGTCACTGTAATCTAATCTTGCATCGAGGCCCCCTGATGTCAAGTTATGCTAGTGATTGGTCAACCTGGATATTATTCCAAAAAAATATAACTTTCCCATTCGGATGATGACGAAATCTTCGTCAATATTGTATGATTATTTAGGGTCAATGAAATGGGAAAGAATGTATAGAGAACCCTTTAACTCGAATCACCAATTTAATTAGTTTTACCTTGATTTTAATATTTTTATGGATTTGATTTATGAGTTCAACTTGCTTGATGACATTCAATTTTAAACGTATTTAAGATATTTTAATTAATTTGGGTCAAAGGTAATTTGTTTTATTTTCAATTTATTGATACTGATATAATTACGGGAAATTCAGTTTTTGAATATTTTATTACATTTAATTTTTACAGTTAAGACATTGTAAATTACGGGTCTATTTTTTCCGGGTCAAGTATACTTGGATCAGAACTCAGACCAAATAAATAAGTTGGCTGAGCTGGGACACGAATAGAGATAGGTATTCTCTATCTCCATTGCCGTCTCCTCCACAGCCCAGCTAGCCTACTTACTTGGATGTTAGGACCAATCTACAGTGACTAAATAAACGTTTACATACAGTGGCGACAATAGATGTTCCGTCGCCATTTTGTGCCCTTCCTCCTGTTAGTTTTAAATATGAATATATAGGATTTAAATTGACATCCATGCATCCGATTAGAACGGCTTCCACAACTAAGTACAATACATAACGTATGCATATTCCAAATAAAATGGGAATTATTGTCCGTCGTTTTTAATCTGACACTTTCCGTATGAGAAGCGAGGGGGTGAAGTGAAGCATATGGCAAAAACACTTACACCTGTCAGGTGACCATTGGTGTTCTAATGTAGGAACTAGGAAGCCACCAGCTCACATTTTTTTTGGAGTATCAGATTAAAATCAATGGACTTTAGTTTGGCACTCGTGGGTAATGTTATTGGGTAATGTTGCCAAATGTTGCTTTCTGCAAATCTTCAGTTATTTATTTTAATAATAAGGTAACCTAGGAAAATGACAAACTTTACTAGACATGATATGTCAAAGTAAAACGAAGTTCATGCGGCAACATTGCGGCATGCTAACGTCATAAATTTTGATGACGTGCATATTATTTAAATAATTTCCCTATACGAATACAATCCAAGTATCTTCCAAGTGGAACGCGCGCAGCGTCCAAGCTCCAAGGGTAGGTTATTAGGTACTGGATCCTAGACCCTAATTCCTAGTAAGTAAAACAACCTGTCTTACCAAACTTACATCGGACTTTCATATTATGTATACAGGGTGTTCCTAAATATCATTTACAAACGAAAGAGGGTGATTCTTTCATTTATTTTATGACTAAAATTTCCTATTAACATAGGTCCGTAAACGCTTCGTTACCTATCTACAGGGTGTTTAAATTTTAATATTTTTTTAGTTTTTTCTTTATAGCTCTTGCAATTTTTGAGGGATTTAGCTCAAATTTGAATTATAGGTTACGCAATAGGAGCTGAATGATTTTACATTTCAAACGTTTGCCAGAATCTACAGGGTGATGTTTTTTCAAGGGTCATGTCCCCTTTTCTGCCACTGAACTTTACAAAATAATTTTTCTACTTTATTTAGAAACTTTTATTTCTCTTGTAGTTTTTTTGTATCAGCGTCCCTTATCGAGAAAAAAATTCCCTGTAATTAGCTAGATGAAACTAAATTGACACCTTTTTCTACCTACAGAACATCCTGTAGATGGGTAAAGAAGCGTTTGCGGACCTATGTTTAGTAGAAATTTTATAAAATAAACCAAAGAATCACCCCCTTCCGTTTATATATAATATTTAGGAACGCCCTGTATATGAATATAAAATAAACGCACTCTGGCAACTGGCAACACCGTAATCAACATGATGCACCAAAAAATTGATTGAGGTTTTGTTTGTGTTTATATATTTTTATTTTTAAAATTTTGTTTATGTACAAACAAAGCTAAAATAATAAATAAAACATTATAGATTAGAGTTGATTTCAAATTAACTCGTTGCGAAGTTGCCGAATATAAAATTAAAATTGTAAAATTAGACATTAGTTTCAACAAGAAAGGCCTTTCTATTATTTATTGACAAAAGCTTGCAGAACCATGAACGACTTGGCTCCAGATTTCGACGTCGAAAACGATCTCTTCAGTTTTGAAACTGATCATTTAGCTTTAAAAGGTAACGAAGACTATGGGGAAGTACTGAAGACCCTTTTGATAATGTCAGCGCACCGTGACAGAGCCCTTAGGGTAAGAATAAACAGTATATCTAATCCATTAATACGGAAACTCTGAAGTGACATGTTACTTAGAAAATTGACAATTAAGTAAAATTGTTACCTACTTAGAACTGACAATTAGGCAATGGTCACAAGACAAGTGATAATATACTTAATGGTCAGTTCTAAGTAACCGTTATAACTAATTGTCAGTTCTAAGTTACAATTATACCTAATTGTCAGCTCTAAATAACGCTTGTAATATCTTCATTAACTACTCAATGCATTTGTAGGATTACAAAAAAGTAGCACAATTGAAAACTGAAGCACTCGAAGACCCTTTTGGTACTTTAGAAAAGATCAAAAATGGTGAAGACTTAGGTGTACCACCCTTGTTAGAATTCCCAAAGGTTTACCCAACAATAATTCTATAATTTCCCAAATACAAAATAATTTTCAGCTACCTAAAATTGATTTGAAAAAATACAACGTTAAAGTACCTGAAAATGACTTGATGGAAATTTACTCTGAAGGTGTGCAACACACTGAAGTGAAACAAGAAAGAAAGATTGATAATTCTAATGGGGGCAGTTGGACTCCAGAAGAGCAAAAACGTCTAGAAGAATTATTGCAGATTTATCCGCCTGAGCCTATTGAAATGAAACGCTTTGCCAAAATCGCTAAAGCTTTAGGTACCAGAACTCCACATCAAGTTGCAAGTAGACTACAAAAATATTTTCTCAAACTGTACAAAGCTGGTCTTCCTATCCCAGGCAGAGTACCTAAATCAGCTGAAAAATATAGAGTAATAATAATCTATTTGTTTTTGCAAAAATCTCCTATAAAATATTTTATTTTAGAAACAACCATTTCACAAACACCAAAGGCACAATCACTATTTGTACAAGCCTACCAACTTTTTCCCTCAACTTTCAATTCCTGTTCAAATGGATGACTTAAATAAAATTCCCGGGCCTAGTGAATTATGTACTAAAACCTCGAAGGAAGAAACAGATAATTATCTTATACCAAATAACTACTACAATCACGGTTCCCCTTTACCAGAACCCACACCGGAAGATATTCCAGAATTGAAACTAAAACTCCTAAAAAGAGTAAAAGAAATCAAAATCAAAGAACAAGAAGACAATTTTGTACCATTTAATCACACTGGATTTAAGTGTGATTATTGCGACGAATCTCCTATAAAAGGACACAGATGGTTCTGTGTAGTTTGTCCAGATTCTGTTGACTTCTGCACTGATTGTGTAATATCGCAGTTGTACTCCGAAAACCCACATCCCTTAAATCATTGGTTGACTGCGCAGCAAGACGATGTGGAACATCAAAGTTTGCTGCAAGGATTCTCAGAACCTTCTCAGGAGTTTGACAAACAAATTAATGAGGAATTGAAAAGTAGGAATTTCAATATTGATAGTGAAGATGATGATGAATTTTGATTGTAATAAATTTTTATTTATTAATATTATTATTATAAAGTCCAATCGTTGCTTTCTGCTAGGTCTTGCATGAGTTTGTCTTTGATTTTAGGCCTTGGATCTTCTTTGATTTGAGTTTCAATCGCACCAGATTGGCCCAATAAGTATTCAAGTTCTAAAAAAAATGCAATTTTAATTAAATTTTTTGTATTAATTTAAATATTTACCATCTTTTGTTAAATTAGGTCCCCTAAATTCCAATGGTCCAACTATTTGTTTTTTTAAGTTACCCTCAAAATAGATAAATATTGTAGGCAAATTTCTGTCCGGGTAATTTGGTATGCATGTTGTAGATATAGATTTTAGGAATTTTACAGTTGGGAATTTGGGAGCCAAGTTTCTTAAATGTTCATTTATAAGGGCACATAAAGGGATGCTGAAATATAATTGTATAATAATTAATTTGTGTTCCAGCTTGAAAGTATTACCCTTGTTTATAAAGATGTAAAACGACCCAAATACCCTCTCCAGCTTTGTTGACCTCATTCACATACTCTGGTGCAGATATTTCTCCAACGTAACCAAATTTTGACCGTTCTGATAGGGCTTTCATTTCCGCAATACGATTCTTACGGTATTGTAATAGAACAGCCTCATCTTCTGAGTCAAGTGAATCCAAGTCGTCGTCATCTTCTGAGCTTTCTTGTCTGTTGCCAACTTGAGTCTTTTTCTCGATGGTGTCTTCGAGCATAGAAATAATGCTATCCTCCGTTATTTCTTTTTCTTTTTGGGGGATTATGCCTTTGGCCCTTAGGATGTCGTTCCATTCTGTGTCTTCGTTGGGATTTTGCATTTTGTGTTTGTTGTTCCTGGACAAAGTTTGGTTGAAATATTAGAACCTCGAAATGATTCATAAATACACAAATTACAAATAAGGAAATTTTTTGGTCATACACTGCTAGGACTGTAGAGGGACACCTATAGGGGGACACCTTATTACAGAAATCTGTAGATACTCCTAGTCCTAGACAAGGGTTTAACGATAATATCGATGAGCCCTCCTCTCTTTTAGTTTAATTTTGTATTCTAGATAAATTTTTGCCTGTTCCCGGCTCTTGAAATTGTCGAAATAAAGAAAATTCAAGTGCCTGAAATAGAAAAAAATATGAATGTTGTAATTCGCTTTGTATTAACACACTAGTGCGTAAAAAATCACTGAAGAAGTTTACTGTTTTCGAACGTACCCCTTTACCCTACCAGCTGATTGTCAAATGTGTGGGATTTTTCCAGTGATGACTCAAAGCTTTTTATTGATTTTAATCAAATAAACACCTTTAATTATTAATTCCAATTATCTCTGAAAGATAAATTCGAAGACGCATTAATGCTCTAAGGTAAGATAACCATAAGAAAATTCATTGTTTTGCAACAAAGTAAACCACTGACTATTTTTTCCCAAGTGTAAAAATCAAGGCTAATTATGGATTCTTACCAAAACGGAAGCCAAAGTAGGGATCAAGACTTCCAAAAATTGTCCCAAACCATTGCCTCTAGCATACAAAAGATTTCTCAAAATGGTAAGCTCAAAACCATCCTACCACATTCACTATTACCATAAATACTTTCATCAGTATCTTCAATGCAAAGAATGGTCAACCAGATTGGTAGTCATCAAGACTCGCCTGAACTTCGCAAGCAGTTGCACTCCCTTCAACATTACACGCAACAGCTTGTGAAAGATACAAATGGCTATATTAAAGAGCTTGGCAATCTACCGCCATCCCTGTCTCAATCCGAGCAAAGACAAAGAAAAATGCAAAAAGAACGATTGCACGACGAATTTACAAGCACTTTAAACATGTTCCAACAGGTAATTATATTATTTCAATACAACAAAAACTTACAAGTACATTTTTGTTAAGGTCCAAAGAAGTACAGCCCAAAAAGAAAAAGACCAAATTAAAAAAACCAAACAGCAATTTTATGGAGATCAGCAACCTTATCTTCGTAAGTTACCATACACTAATGCTGCTCTAATAATTATAAGTACAAATTTATAGCTGGCTATAAAAAAGATCAGCAACTGATTGAGCTGCAAGACAGTGCAGCACGTCAACAAAATGAACAAATTCAATTGCAAGATGAAGCTGAATTGAGACAGTTACAGGAGCAAGAACAAGCTGTTAGACAGCTAGAAGTAAGAAAGTGTTTCAAAAAAATGGTATATTTCTTACAATAATTATTGTAGATTGATATTAGTGATGTCAACCTAATATTCAAAGAACTAGGACAAATGGTGCACGAGCAAGGAGAAGTGATTGATAGTATAGAGGCCTCAGTGGAAAGTACGTCTGACTATGTGCGTCAAGGTGCTCAGCAATTGAGGGAAGCCAGCACCTATAAAGATAAGATCAGGAAAAGGAAAGTGCTTTTTGCTGGTATAGGGGCATTTATTTTGGCTCTGATTATTTTATACATTATCTGGCAAACTTCGTGAATATTTTGTGGAATGGCAGTATTTGGAAATTTTTATTGTTGTTATAGCAATATTTATTATAAATTATTATGATGTAGTATGTTATTTGGCTTTAAGTATAATATTTTTTTCCATTTTCAATGGTGCCCCTTTATTCTAAGTTGATATTAATATTAAAAAAAAAAAAAAAAATTATGATTCATCCTCACCTTTTGTATATTATGTGTAGCTTAAGAATATAATTTGTATATAAGAAAGTATAGAAATATATTATGTATAATCACTGAATCATGTTTTTTAAATGCAATAAAAGTGGGCTTAAATTTGAGGATAAATTCTCAGAAAATGGACTATTCAATAATGTAAAATCCTGCTGCAGGTCAAGACTAAAGGATCAGCAGCGTCAAAACCTCTGGGGTTCCCCCCTGGGCAAGGAAAACATTCAATACCAAATAAACTGATATTTATTTCTCATTGCAAAAAACGCTGTTTTCGTCACTAGTAAAAGAATTTACTATTTAACACGCTTCGGAGCGCGTGCAAAAAGTACTTTTTGCACGCTGTTCGGAATAATCAATTTTCTAGGTAAGTTTAGTATTGTAGTGCGCTTTGAACAGCTTTCTAGAGAAGAGCATAGAAATGAGATGAGAGTAACATGCTCTAGATCATAGCGCTCTCGAACAGGACCCCTTTCGCACGAGTTTTTTTGGCTTGATACGGTGCACTCTCTAAGATGTCATGTAACTCCAATCAATCTGCGCGCTCCGCCCAGTGTCAACCCAAACGCAGCACAAAGAGTGCTCCGTGTCAAGCCAAATAAAATCGTGCAAAAGTACGACGATAGAAGATACACGCACGCTGTTCGGAATAATTGATTTTAGTAGTTTAGAATTGTAGTGCGTTTTGAACAGTTTTCTAGAGAAGAGCGTAGACATGAGTAACATGCTCTGGATCATAACACTCTCGAACAGGGCCTTTTTTGCACGAGTTTCATTGGCTTGACACGGTGCACTCGAGAGTAACATACTATAGATCATAACAGTCACGTTACTCCGATCTATTTGCTCGGTCTGTCCAGTGTTAACCCAAATGCAGCCACTGGAAGTGCTCCGTGTCAAGTCATATAGAATGGTGCAAAAGTAAGAAAAAATAAATAAATACTACGATAGACGATACTTCGAAACGTCGGTACGGAATCCGGGACCCTGCTTCACATAAAATTGTACGGGACACTCTTCGGCTGGGTGATTCGATCTAACTGTGTGATCTTCTCAAATTTTATACCATTAGTTGTATTTCTTTCACACCTAGGAGGAGCTCCGGGGCGTTAAGCGCTTATTCCTTTCGAAAAGTGTTTGTTGCCCCTGAGTACTCAAGCCCGAATCAAACCATTTAAATGCATGAAAACCAGCGCATCTGTTCCTTTAAAATCGGGGTCGACTAACACCGGAGCGAGTAGCTCTAGTGTTCTATATTCTTGACACGAATACAACTGGCGTTTTCTCGCGGGACGAATGGTTCGAACTACGGTTTAAACCAATTTGTAGATAACGTCATCACTTGTGAATGCGAGAAAATGAAAGGTTTGAACGTTTGAACCATAGTCTTATTTCAATGGAGAACAAAGCTGTTTTCTCGCGATCCGGTTCAATTCGGTTCGAACCTGTACATTCTTGCGTTGAACCAGTGACGTCACATTGAACCTGGTTCAAAAAAGTTCGAGAGGAGATTTCGTTCCAATCGACTTTTTTACTCAAATTCTGTTTATTTTTGCCTCTAGAGCACCAATTATGGATCTAGTGTAGGTTTTTTAATGTTCGAAACTAATCGGGCATCGTTAAAGCTGGATTTATAGTGTAGTAGCAGTAACATAACAGTAACTTAAAACTTAAAACTTAAGAACAGATATGAAAATATCCATTTCTTAAGTTTTACTGATAAGTTTGTTAAGTGAACTATAATAGTTATTTACCTAACAAATGCGGAAAGTGATACTTGACGGCTTGATCAAACTCCGCTTCGCGTCGTTCGGTCAACTGCCGTTGCGTGCGGTAAAGGCACTTTCCGCATATGTTAGGTACAAAATTTGACCTATGAGCATCTACATCTCCAAAAAAGGGCATTGATAAAATTAATTATTGAATCAGATTAATTAATGAAATAAGATTAGATTTAGAAATTATCAAAAATCCATTTTCTGGAAAAAAAAAGGATTTTTGATTATAAATATCAAATTTTACGGTTAAAGTGCTACTTTCCATTTGCAAATACGCGCGGTAAAGTGCACTTTACCGCTCGCTCGTAGGTAAATTGCTTTACTGTCGGCGGTGTTTTAATATTTTACTGTTACTGATACTGACACTATAAATCCAGCTTAACAGTTTACTCGATTTGGTCTGAAATTCTCGTTCTAGTGCACTAAATTTTTTTTTGATTGGTTTACTCGTACTATTGTTTTAGAGTAAATAGAGTATGTTTATTCATTAAAAAGTTGTATTTTTTTCCCTCCTATAAGCCTAGTACTCCTAACTGCGAAATTCGCATTTTTTTGACATTGCGTTGACAATTTGACGTTTTATGCGTGTATCAAACGTGAAATTGTCGAAGCAACGTCAAAAAAATGCGAATTTCGCAGTTATGAGTACTAGGCTTAAGCCCACTAGTACTCATAACTGCGAAATTCGCATTTTTTTGACACTGCGTTGACAATTTGACGTTTTATGCGTGTATCAAACGTCAAATTGTCGAAGCAATGTCAAAAAAATGCGAATTTCGCAGTTATGAGTACTAGGCTTTATACCTATAAACATGAATATAATCACTTTATTTGCCATATTTGGAGTACTCTGAGTAAGCAAATCGTTCAAAATTGTATTTTTACTTTAAAGTAAATAGAGTAAGTTTAAATATTGGAGAGTATAAAGGCAAACGAGTTCGGAACAGGTTTTTGGGTTTAAGAACAAATAAAACCGATTTGGAACTGATTCTAGTTGCACCGCGAACAATGATCTGGAACACAAATTAAAGATTGCTCGATTGTGAACCAGTTCAAGACTTCAAGATCTATTCGGAACCGATTTTATTTGAATTACGAACAATCAATGTGCTCCAATACAATTCAGTTTAGTTTTTTCCGAAATCGGAACAGGAATTATAGCAGTCGGAACTCTAAAAATCAATTCTGAAATGATCTGGAACCGATTCTAAATGAATTGTCAATATGATTCAGGACACTAATTTAGGATTCTCGTGCACCGTATGCGTTTAATAATAATTTAGTTCATAATTTTTTTTAGTTCAGAACAACAATCGAGCTACTCGGAGCTCTAAAAACTAGTTCAGAAATGATCTGAAATCAATACCAGAGTAAATTTAATGAGTTTTAGAACATTAATTGTGCATCATATGCGTATAATAATGAACTAGTTCTGATTTTCTCTAGTTCGGAACAGTAATCGAAGTACTTGAAACTCTGAGAACCAGTTCAAAAATCATCTGGAACAGGTTCTAAATAAACTGCGAACAATTCAATGTGTTCGGAACCATGCAACAATAATGAATTTGTTCAGAATCAGTTTCGAATTGAACTGCCTGATATGTATGTTCGATATGAGCAAATTCGAAAGCGCAGTTCAATTCAGAACTGATTCTAAACTGAGACCGAACAAACTAAATGAATTTTGAATAAAAAAGAGTAAATTCGATGTGTTCCAGGGCAATTATAGATTTTTTGATCGTGAACTAATTCGGTCGAACAGGTCTTTAGAACACAAAGAAACGTTTTGGAACTGATCTGGGGGCGGATTACGAACTCTCGATTCGAACCGAAACCGCCATGGATTTCGAACGCATTGCATTCGCATGGAGTGCGCTCGAAATCCATGGCGGTTTCGGTTCGAATCGAGAGTTCGTAATCCGCCCCCTGTTCTCTCGCGGTGGAACTGGTTCGATCGGGTTCAAATAGGTTTGAACCTGTACACTTTTGCGTTGAACCAATGACGTTACATTGAACCTGGTTCAAAAAAGTTCGAACCGGACTCTTGGCATAAGACTGTGTTCAAACCTTCCATTTCCTCGCGTACGCAAGTGATGACGTCATCTACAAATTGGTTTAAACCGTGGTTCGAACCATTCATTCCGCCAGAAAACGCCTCAAGCCATGAATCCGGTTCGATTTTTTTTTGAAAGATTCAATGTGACGTCACTGGCTCAACGCAAGAATGTACAGGTTCGAACCTAATTGGACCGGATCGAACCAGTTCCACCGCGAGAAAACAGCTCTAATGTCGTGTTATCGAACGCATTGATTTTTGGCGCAGGCGTAGATTGACATTTGATTGTGATGATTCAAAAATAGGTTACTTCTTTGAGGTGGGGTTTGTTGTGGTGATAAATTTTAAAGTTTTTTTCTCAAAAGAAAATCAGTTTTCCTACAATAATTTTCAGTGAAAGTTGCAATAAAATGGACGGGAAACTTCCAGCGTGCGTTATAGACGTAGGAACAGGGTATGTGTCCCTTAAAACACCTCCAAATAATACATTTTCATTAGTAAACATTTATCTATTGTAGCTACACAAAACTGGGTTTTGCTGCTAACAAGGAGCCCCAATTTATAATACCTTCGGCAATTGCCATCAAAGAAACTGCAAAAGTAGGAGAACAAAGCAGTAGGAGGCTGGTTAAAGGGGTCGAAGATCTAGATTTCTTTATCGGTGATGAAGCTTTCAATGCTACAGGATATGCAGTTAAAGTAAGAATAATCAACAATTTTATTTGTATTTAATTTAAATTGTGCTTACTTTTGTGTTTTACATTTATTTTGTTCATGTATTTTATTGTGTTTCTATGTTTTGTTCATTATTTGACTGCTGTAGTAATGATAATTAATGTCCCTATATTATTAATTTTCTCAAATTTCAATGTATCATCATCATTATGTTATAATATATAGTCCCAGTTTTGTCAATGAGGCTTGATGAGATTAAAGATCTTGGTATCATATTTGATTACCAGCTTTCATCCAATTCACATGCATATTATACCTACATAATGTCTCAACTAGTTCATCCAGGGTGCTTGGCTTCTATAGGTACCTACTATATCTTTGTTTGGTAAAAACTTGATCACAGCTCCATGCAACTGAGTCTTTTATTCTAAGGCATTTTCTTAAGTATCTACCTTCATTTTAAAACACGTTTTCTCTCCTGATAGAGGTTTCGACCATACTGTGTTACTTTTGGAGTTTGATAAGGTGTCTTTAACTCAGAGAAGAAAGGTCCAAGCTGTCAAGTTTCTATATAACCTCTTGCATAGTAGAATAGACTGTTTAAATCCTATTGAGAGCATTTATTACAGAGTCCTCGGGCTAGTGGGTAGGTATAATGAGACATTGTATTTACAGAGACTGCCAGAACCAACATGTCCTTTATTATATCTTATGTGCAGAGTTTACAATGAGGTTTCTAGAGACTGTGACATGAGTGTCGATTCTATACACTCAGTAATTCAAGCTGTACTGAATATTAGGATTTTGGCTTGACTTGCTGATAACTTCTCTTTTTTTGTAATAGATGCTATTTTAGTTCTGTCTCTTCCAACAGACATGAGAACCGCTCTAGAACCGTAATTTCGTCAATCAATTAGTTTGTCAATGTTCAACTCAATGCAACTGCTGGAAAAAAACAACAGTTGAATTTCTTCATGCAGAACTGCGATTTTGTTAGAATCAACACTTATATTTATCATGACAAACAACCCCAGGAAGCACACCTGATATAATATTATGCACTCAGAATATTAAGAAAAACATTAATACTTCATTAACATCAGACCTAGGAAGTGATTATCTCAGTATACTATGGACTCTGAATGCATAGAAGAAACAAATTATAACAAAAAAACGCCAATTCTAAAGACAAATAAAACAAAATAACAACTATTCAAACCTAAAAAGCCAATTCAATGATTTAAATAAAGAAATACATAAACTGATTGGAGAGTTGAAACAAGACAAATGGATAAAATTCTGCAATAACATAAATAGACTCAATGGAAAAACCTATTGGACTGAAATTAAAAAATTGAGTAAATTTAAGGCAGCAAAATCACCAATCCCAATGATACCTCAAGGAAACATGGTTCTGGACAGCTCGATAAAGCTAATGCCTTTGCGGAGTACTATGAAAATCTTTTTATGGATAACAGTAAGAATAACGGGGACGAGCAAACTGCAATTATCAACGAATGGTTTTATGAATTTTTCTCAGGCGAACTACACACTGCTGATTTACAAATCGAGGACGATGATAGCCGAAGGGCAAAACACCGCTCCAGGTTACGACAACATCAACCATAATATTTTAAGACAACTCAGAATTCCACACAAGAATAAAACAAATTTACAGTCTAATCAATGGCTACTTTCCAAATACCTGGAAAAAAGGCATAGTCATAACCATACCCAAACCAAACGTAGACCATTCCAGAGTGTAAAACTACAGACCAAATACCCTTTTGCCATTTTTAGGAAGAAATCTTGGAAAAATTGTTCGGAACAGAATAATCCGCGAAATAGGAAGAAACATACCTACGCATCAGTTCGATTTCAAGCAAGATCACTCCACTATTCATCCACTATCTATTCTAACATCAAATATACAGTCAGTAAATGTTATGGGTTTCAGAAGTGCGGCGACGTTTTTAGATATTAAAGAGGCTCTTGATACACTTTGGCATAGAAGTATCCTGTTTAAACTCTACCAGTTACAATGTCCAAGATACATTGCTCTATAATATTTTTTGTCACGACATCTTCCTTCCAACAAACCAGGTTACAGTTGCAAGTCCATATATCATACAATTTGCAGACAATACCGCTATTATATCACACCACAAGAATATATCCCAAGCTGTTCAATCTCTACAAATAGCACTTAACAGAGTGATTGTCTGGTTAGATAGGTGGAAACTAAAAGTAAATCCTGAAAAATCGCAATTTACAATATTTCATCACAAGATCAGCGAAGCTTCACCAAAACTAGATATTCTCAACTACCACCTCCCCTCAATCTCACATCAAATACTTGGGTATTCATTTCGACAATAAATTAAATTTCAAATACCAACTGTTAACAATGAAGAAAAAGACAATAACAAGAAGCAAACATTTTAGAAACCTAACATACAAGGACGAGGGTATTAACATCAAAACTGCATGGTACATCTACACAACAATATGCAGACCAATTTTGGAATACGGACCAATAATTTTCAGTGCTTGTAGAGGACCTGCCATCCAGATAATAGAAACTGCAGAAAGAACTAGTCTACGTAAAATTTCAAAAATCAGACATCCTACAAACCCGCTTCATAATCCATCAAATGAAATGTTGTATCAAAAAACTGGAATTGAATCAATCATTCAAAGATTTCAAAGTCTTACCCAGAAGTTTGGCAGCAGACCATCCAACATAGCGATAATCAGTCCATTCATTTTGGAAATTCCATAAAGCTTTATTTTTCCCAAATTATACAAAATAATCTCGAAAATAATAGACTGTGGAAAGCTAACATAGGTACATAGTTGTGTTGTACGTACTTGCATTGTTTATTTAATTTTTTTTTCCATGGCATGTGGATTTATCTGTTAAATATTTATACTTAGCAAATTTGTAAATACATATAAAATTGTAGATATCAAAGGCTGAAAGACCTCGGTCGATGGCCCTTTGTACAATTACATAGTTCAATAAATATTGTTTAACGCTATAACTCATTGAAAAATTGGTGGGCAACTGGAAATTACTGGTTTTGGAACGGTTTTCATGTCTGTTGGAACAGAGCTTATACTTTAATTTTGTTCATCATTATCCTGCCTTATTTATAGTTTACTTACATTTTTTTTCAATCAGGATGGGCAAAAATCCAGCTAATTGTAATATAGTGGATAGAGGATTGGATTTTTAATGTTTCTGGTGGATATTTATGTTTTTGATATACATATGTATACCTATTTTGATGTATTAAAACTCGTATTAAGACCTATCAGATGAGATAACTACGGAAGTATCAAAGAGCGCTTAAGAACATTTGTGGAAGATTTCTAATAACTTCAAGAACATTTTAGCGCCGTTGAGACAAATAGGAACTTCCAAGAACATTGTAAAAAGCTACAGAACACTTTAGAATCAAATCAGAAACATTCTAGAATGGATCAGAACACTTCCAAACTTTCAGGACAAAAATGCTTGAGATATTTTAAAGTTTATGTTGTATGAAAACAAGGAACAAGGAAATATTTACCCATCGAAAATTCATCCAAAAATCATTGAAAAAAATAATTGTTTGCCAACCATTTTTGTCTTTACCTGCTTTTCTTTTACTTTATAGATTTACCTGCTTCGTATTTTTTTTTTGTACTGATTGTATTCTTTTTACAATAAAGCTATATTTGATTATTAATTATTGTTGTAGTATCCAGTCCGTCATGGTTTGGTCGAAGACTGGGATCTGATGGAACGTTTTCTAGAACAATGCATTTTCAAATATCTACGTGCTGAGCCCGAAGATCATTACTTTCTATTAACTGAGCCTCCGTTAAATACCCCAGAAAATCGAGAATACACTGCGGAAATTATGTTTGAAAGCTTCAATGTTCCTGGATTGTATATTGCTGTGCAAGTAAGTGAAAACTATTGTTTATTGAAAATTTTGTGATAATGAGCGAATTCAAGTTGTGGGTTAACAAAGTCAAAGACGAAGTGAAATAAAACTTCCTTATTTACAAATTTGCGGACATTTCGGCCCTTTATTTAGGTTTTTACCAAGGCTGGAAAGCAAGAAAAACATTTACAATTATTACCATCCATATAATAACACTGACATACAACAATTAGAACAATTAAAAGAATTATAAGATTGGAGTAGAAGTTGCTGTTTGTTATCTCTTTATACTGTATCGAAATTTGTGTACTGCTCTTCTAGAGAAAATTAATTTTTTTTTTCCACATTATCCTGTGTTCAGGAAAGTTGATTTTCTACACTTTTAAAAAAAAATATAGGTACTACATATTTCTTTATGCACTTCTCTAGCTACCAAGCAGAGCTGGACATAACTAAGCTTAAAAAAATTAACTTTTGGCTGTAAATAAGTTTAACAATATATAATTTTTAAGCCAGATAAGTCAAACTTTATTCCTGAACATTTTTCCAGGCTGTTCTTGCATTAGCTGCCAGTTGGGCAAGCAGAAGTGTCGCAGAACGAACTTTAACCGGTATTGTGATAGATAGTGGAGATGGCGTAACTCACGTAATTCCTGTGGTAAAACAATATAATTAATTTCTTAAATACCAAACAAACAATTAACATTTTAAGGCTGAAGGTTACGTCATTGGAAGCTGTATTAAGCACATTCCAATAGCGGGACGTAATATAACGTATTTTATTCAATCTCTTCTAAGAGAAAGAGAAATAGGGATTCCTCCTGAACAGTCTCTAGAAACTGCCAAAGCCATTAAGGAAAAATACTGTTACATTTGTCCGGACATTGCGAAAGAATTCGCCAAATACGATTCCGATCCGGGCAAATGGATGAAACGATACGAAGGAATGAACGCGATCACCAAACAATTGTTTTCCGTTGATGTTGGCTACGAAAGATTTTTGGGACCTGAAATTTTTTTCCACCCAGAGTTTTCTAATCCTGATTTTAACATTCCACTGTCACAAATTGTGGACGATGTAATTCAAAATTGTCCTATAGACGTTCGTAGGCCTTTGTATAACAATATCGTATTATCTGGAGGGTCTACAATGTTTAAAGATTTTGGTAGGAGGCTGCAAAGGGACATCAAAAAGACTGTCGATGCTCGTTTGAAATTGAGTGAAACTTTAGGAGGAGGAAGATTAATTGTGAGAATTATTGGTTTGTTGATTTGATGGTTTATTGAATAATTATTTTTTAGCCTAAACCTATTGATGTGCAAGTGGTATCGCATCACATGCAAAGGTATGCTGTTTGGTTTGGGGGTAGCATGTTGGCATCAACGGTAAGAATTGTTTTTTGATGTTTTTTTTTTTAAATATAATCAAACTAAAATTAATTTAGCCTGAATTTTACACTGTGTGCCATACCAAGGAGCAATATGAAGAGTATGGACCCAGTATTTGCAGGCACAATCCAGTATTCGGTACAATGACCTAATTAATTGTTTTCAAATTTTGTATTAATAAACTTTTATGTATTCAAAACTTTATTTACATAAATATACACAATAATTATAATACACTATTTCTTAGTCTCATGTCTAACCAAACTCCTCCTTTAGCTCTGAGGCTAACTCTATAACTGGGAGTTAAATTTTCGTGGCAAGGGCAAAGGGCCAAAATGTAATTTTTAATAATCGTAGCAATAATGGTTTTCATTTCTAGATAAGCAAATTTGTAGCCTAAGAAAAAATTAGTTACATTTTTTTTTTCAAATTAAAATCCCTAACTTACCTATACAGTGTCTTGGTCCCGCGCTAAATGGCAAATACGCATAGGGATGTATGTTCTTGATATTTTCCTGTGAAAATCTGTCTGGATCGAATTCGTGAGGATTTGGAAAAATGTGCGCGAGCCTCTGAGTTGCGTACGGTGATATAAATATGTTTGTTCCTGCAGGAATTGTGTGATTTTCTGTGGAAATTAAGTTTATTTGGTGATAAATCTTTTGAAATTTGTAAAAATCTACGACAATTGGCAACCTCTTATAAATGGATTTCTATTACCTAAAGTTACATCTGTTGTAAGTTCTCTAGCTACCAATGGAATACTAGGCATCAGCCTCATAGTCTCTTTGAGGCATTGTTCCAAATAATGCATCCGATTCACTTGATCAAGCTGGATACTTTGAGCATAATTCCCGCAAATAATTTGATCAATTTCCTTGTAAACTTTGTCTTGAATATTTTGGTATTTGGCCAGGTAGTGAAGGCAAAACGCTATTGCAGCGCCCACTGAGTCCTGACCCTGAAAACTCTCAATCAGCTTGAAAAATGTATTGTCGTATCCACTTACTGCTAACATAAATGTCACTGCTTCGTTTACAATGTCTTCATCAGAAAAATCATCATTTTCGGAAATTTCAATTAACCTGTCTAGAACGCAATTTGTTTTGGAGCCCTTAGATATTTCCACACGTCTATCATCTAATACCTAAATATTATTATATTCAGTAAAATTTATTTATTTTTCATGCTCAATTATCTACTTGTTTAACATATTGATGTAAATTGCTTAATTGTTTGGATTCGTTTTTTGACATTTCTGAGCGCTTGAACACAGAATCCAACAAAAGCCACGGTTTTAGTATTCTTTTGAGCAAGAGCAATTCGCCTCTCCTAAATGGCGAGTCAAATTCAGATTTTAAATCCACACCCAAAATAGTCTCTAAAAAACATATTTTCATATTTGTTTGCAGTAATTGAATCAACTTACTGTGTAAAATATTAAGGATACAAGAATTTATTGTTCTAGTAATCTGAATGTGTCTTTGCCCGGATAATTTAGTTAAAATTTGATCAGAGGCCGCAACGAAATCTTCAAAATAACTTTCCAGGATATTGATTTGGAAATGAGGCTGGATTAGTCTACGATGTTTCTTCCATTTTTCACCTAAATTATGTAAGTAGATTATTGAAAATTCATAGGTTTTTTTTTACCTGTGCTGGTAATCAATCCATCACCGATAAAATTGTGCATGATGGCATAGAAAAAGTTCTTGTCGGACACTTTGGTGTTGGCCAAGATGACTTTCAAGTGTTCAGGTTCGTATACTAGAAAAAAAGGTACGAAGAATATCCAGGCTCTGAAGATTGGCACGTACGAGGCCATTTTTATACCTAAACCTAGGAAAGCTACAAAAAAAAATAATTATTTTTCAATATTTTCTGTTATAATCTAAATACATAATTATGGAAAAATCAATCTAAATAACCACAACATATTGTATAATTATTGAGGTGCAAAGACCATTTTTCTAATTAAAGGAATACTTTTAAACATGCAAGAAAATGTAATTTTTGGTACTTGTTGGGTAAAAGCTATTTTATAGATAATGTGTTCAATGTGAATTACAATCTCATTTTAGTCTCATGACATCAGATTTTGATTACAAAAACTCTTTCAGCGTTTTATGGAGATGATAAATGTCGTGTGAAGGTGAAAATTAAGTGCCAATATTTACTAAGTAATTAAATAATCTACACATTTAGTTTTTTGTTAGAGTTAAGGAAATAACAAATTTTAATAAGTTCTTACCTTCAGTGTCTTTGACGTACAAAACATTTCCTATAATAGGCACAGCGGCTGGTCCAGGTAATTTGAAAGCCAACAAAACGGCTCTAAAGTAGTTCCGGTATTTCTTCAATATCCATATTACAAACAGGACGAAAAAGGCTTGGAAAATTAGGACCTTTTTTTCCATAATTTATCAGTTGGCAGTCTAACTGAAGATTATTGAGAATAAGTCTTGTTTTTGATGATAATACTTAATTTATAGTTCAAAATCTCCCATAATCACAGATATTCTGAAGGTCTAGCTCATTGTGACACCTAGAACTATTTTTCAGAGGCTCTGAAATGGGATTTCAGGTAAATTTTTTCAATTTCTGAGCTCTCTAACTCCACTTTAAGAATATTTTACCTTATGAAAGAGACTTTTCTAAAGCCGCTTAAATGCAATTTTGAAGGATTTTTTCCAATTTCTTCCAAACATCGACAAAGAAAGAACTCGTAACCCTATTTCTGAACTATAACTCCATTTCAAAAGTATTTTACCTTATGGAAAAGACTCTAATCTATAAATCCTGGAAGTTTAAGCTTACTGTAATACCTAGAAGTATTTTTCAGAGGTGCTGAAATGTGATTTAAGGTGATTTTTTCAATTTCTGAGTTCTAAATCCACTTTAGGAATATTTTACCATATGCAAGAGACTATTCAAAATTAATTTCCAGAAATTTTTCCTGTGGTTGTTTTCCACTGGATTGATTTGAAATTTTAGCGTGATGAGCTTCTAGTCTTTCTTTTTCTATTCCAGAAGTTTCAAAATTTTTCCCTTATCAGTTTTTGAGAAAACCATTGTATGGAGATCATATATTTTCGAGGATATTTTAAAAAATTTTATGTTGAGATTTTGTATTTGAATGATCATTGGGGACCCCCAATTTCCATAAACTATGAAATTTCAAAAAAAAAATTGTCGAGATTTGGTGTACTAATGGTCTTTTGGGATCCCCTGAACTCTATACACTGAATTATTTTGAGATTTGGAGCCAGATTCTATGAAAAAAGGCACCTAGAAAATTGAAAAATTGATAAATTTAACCCAAATTGCTTAACACGATTTTATTTCCGGAACTATAAGTCCAAATGAGCTGAAATTCTCAGGAATTCTTGTCCTCTACTGGAATAAGAATCGCTGAAAATTTCAGCTTTCTATCTCTGATAGAAGAAAAGTTATGACCTTTCAAAGTTTTCCAAAATCTAAATCATAAGGTAGCTCTACCTTAGTACTAAAACGATTAAATTTCAAATTTTTTTTTGTTGAGATTTTGTGTCCTAATGGTCCTTTGGGATCCCCTGAACTCCACACACTAAATTATTCTGAGATTTGGAACCGGATTCTATGAAAAAAGGCACTCAGAAAATGGAAAAATTGATAAATTTATCCCAAATTGCTTAACACGATTTTATTTGTGGAACTATAAGTCCAAATGAGCTGAAATTTTCAGGAATTGTAGTCTTCTACTGGAATAAGAATCGCTGAAAATTTCAGCTGTCTATCTCTAATAGAAGAAAAGTTATGAGCTTTCAAAGTTTTCCAAAATCTAAATCATAAGGTACTAAAAGTACCTACTAAAACGATGAAATTTCAAATTTTTTTTTGTTGAGGTTTTGTGTCCTAATGGCCCTTTGGGATCCCCTGGACTTCATACATTAAATTATTTTGAGATTTGGAGCTGGATTCTATGAAAAAAGGCACTCAGAAAATTGAAAAATCGTTAATTTTACCCCAAATTGCTTAACACGATTTTATTTCTGGAACTAAAAGTCCAAATGAGCTGAAATTTTCAAGAATTGTAGTCTTCTACTGGAATAAGAATCGCTGAAAATTTCAGCTTTCTATCTCTAATAGAAGAAAAGTTATGACCTTTCAAAGTTTTCCAAAATCTAAATCATAAGGTAGCTCTACCTTAGTACTAAAACGATGAAGTTTCAATTTTTTTTGTTGTTGAGATTTTGTATCTTAATGGTTCTTTGGGATCCCCTGGACTCCATACACTAAATTATTTTGAGATTTGGAGCTGGATTCTATGGAAAAAGGCACTCAGAAAATTGAAAAATCGTTAATTTTACCCCAAATTGCTTAACACGATTTTATTTCTGGAACTATAAGTCCAAATGAGCTGAAATTTTCAGGAATTGTAGTCTTGTACTGGAATAAGAATCGCTGGAAATTTCAGCTTTCTATTTGTGATAGAAAAAAAGTTATGGGTCTTCAAAGTTTTTAACAAATCAAATCATAAGGGACCCCCCAAACTCCATTAAATTATTCTGAGATTTGAAGTCGAAATCTATGAAAAAAGGACGTCAGAGAATTGAAAAATTGATAAATTTATCAGTTTAATTTATAGATCCTGAAAATTTAAGCTCACTGTGACGCCTAGAAGTATTTTTCAGGAGATTTTTCCAATTTCCTTTGGAAATTAACGCAGACAAAATATCCTTACTCTCTTTTGGAGTTCTAATAATGCGTTTCCAAATATTTTTGCTTTAGAGAATCTAATTTATCAATCCTTGAAGTATTTAGTCAAAAATTCTTATGAACTGAAATTCTCTGAACACTAGAAATTGTGAAGATTTTAAAGGCTCTGAAGACCCCAACTCATCTAAAAATTGAGGCTTTGTTATTACAGACTAAGAATCTAAAATTTCTAGAGATTTTAAAGACGTTTGAAAACTTAAATTTTGAAGAATTTAATAACTTGAAAGACTCTTCGTTAATATTTTAAAACATTTTAGAACCAAACTTGGAAAAATCTAAGACACATAAGTTTATTACTTGAAATAATATCCTGGATCAAAGACTAAAACCTGATAATGGCTGCTTTTTTCATTTTAATAGGTATACATATATGAAATGCTTACTTGATTCTATTCAAATAGAGAAATCACTTCTTCTACACTACCCAGTTTCACTATAAAGTAGAATAATCAAAAATTTCCCAAAAAAAAAAATACACAATCTGTTGCCCACCCACCACACAAAAGCCAATAATATTTCTCGAGGAAGATTTATTCAAACAAAAGGAACGTTTAATGTTAAATAATGTGCTACTAGATGTTTGTGAAACGTGAAAGACATTTTTAATGAAACATCATCGTTTGAAATTGAAATGTTTGCTTTTCGCATGTTAAATTAAAACTAATAATAATTTATCTTGTTTTTCGCTTAGTTTGTTATTAAATTTAATTGGGACGATTTTTAAAATTAATAACATATAAATAAAAAACGCAATGTGACTTTTCGATTCTTGAAATTTCACTATTGATGATGGAATGACTAAAAAATAAAACAGTGTATGATGGATAGGAAAGGTTTTTATTAATTAAAATCACTATTTACAGCTTGATTGAGTACAAACTAAATTGAAGGAAATTCTCAAATCGATTTTCAAAGAAATTCTTTGAAGTTGAGAACAATTATTCTAGAATTATTATTGTTGTTTTTATCTAGGTCTACCTCTTCTCAATTGATCTTCCAATCTAGCTAATTTAATTAAAATGTCTCTATTATTACTCACACTAGTCTTATCATCATAAATCTCCCCAATTATGTACTCATACAAATTCCTTAGAACATTTTTCTCTTGTAATCGTGTATCGTGAATTTCCTTCAATCTCTCCTTATCGTCTTCGTCAAACATCTTCAAATTTTCGCTTATATCTTTAATAATTTTATGCTCTTTGGGACTAAAAACTTTTGTGTCCCCAAAAATTGTTTTAATCATTTTTGTTTTAAGAAACTCCTCTATTCTATTAACATAACGAATCATTTTTACTTGACGTTGTTCTTTGCTGAACTTTTGTATTTTATCCATGTCGGTTACAATTAAACCGACAAGTAAATTGTTTAAAATAATTGTCATACAAAAAATAAATACAGCAACAATTACTCGGCCAAAAATGGGAAATTTTGGAGGGGCAGTTATATCGCCATCGTATTGCCCTATGAAAAATATTAGAGTATCAAAAAGCTTAAGCATTATGTCGCCTAATACAGCTAAAGCATTAGGGTTGGTATTCTCTTCAGGAGGCAATAATATAAGAAAACATAAAGCAAACGAAACAAATTGTATAAAATAAAATAAAGCATATTGAAGAAAATATTTTGTGGAACTAAAAATAATCATGTACTTAGTAAAAGTAGGCACTTGTCCTAACATTAACAAAAATATCAAGCTAGATAATAATATAGCTATTATCATAGCTATTTCGTTTTTCGTAAAAAGACTTATAATACAACAAACTATAATAGTAAACTCCAAATAATTTGAAACATCCCAAAAATACTTTAGGCCAAACTTACACCCTTGCACGATTTCTTTTATAACAATCAAAATCAATAGAATCAAGAAAATTACAAATACAGGCTTGATTAATTGATAATTTATTTGTAATAAAATCATATACCAGTACAAAAACAATAAAAACAACGAATATAAAATAAAATTCAAATAAAAAAACTTACTGCTCTTAACCCATTTGGCATAAATAAGATAGACTAAAGCTGGATGGTTTAATAATTCGCGTTTTTTAGAATCGTGACTTAAATCATGCAAAAATTCAGTTTCAGAATATCCATTATTATTACCATTATCAGATATAATACTATTAAAACAAACATCGTTATTAGGTTTAATGCACTCATCCAAATGCAATTGTAAAGTATTATAAGAAATTTTCCTTAATCTAGAAGCATTTTCAGGTAGTTCATATAATCTACCAGTTAATGAGGCACCCATTCTTAATATTTGACAAATATTACTTTGATACTCATCACCTGGCCCATTAAAATCCAAATAAAAATCCAAAATTTTATTTAAGACAATTCGCATATCAAAATCTATAAAATCTTGTGTTGTTTCCAGATAAAACGTTTCTAGTTTGCTTATAAGCAAAAATAAAACGTGCCTGGTGTTGCAATTTTGCATTTCAAACGATGCCCTGTTTATATTATTAAGTACATCTCTAATGTGCTCTTTGGTTATCTGATTGGATCTGTGTTCAAGTAAAATCGTTAAAAATGGATAATAGCTTAGTTTGACTGTCATTTGAAAAACATCTTGGTTTCCTAGTTTGCGTGTAGTAACATCGGCCCCGTTGTTCAACAAATGTTCGATGCTACGTCCGAAACCGTTTCGACAAAAAAACCTTAGGATTGAGGTTTTTAGAATGTCCGTATCGGCCGGATCCTCGTTGTTAGGGTTGGATTTTTTGTAATCAATGTAACCTTTGATGAGGCAAAGTTGTAACATGGTACCGCTGCTGGTGTGATTTGCATTTTGTCCGTCCGTTTGATTGACGAATTGTCTGATGTTTTCGTTATTGTATCTGGAATAAATAAATAATTTTCAGTATTTAAATTACCACATGCCAACGAAAAGACCAGAAGTTATAAACACTTACAAAAAGAGATTATGTCTAATGTCAAATAATAAGCACACTTGTGACATCGAGAGGATCCTGAACCTAAAGATGAACCCATAAATTAGGCACTGGAAAGACATTAAAAGCAAAAGCTAAAGTAAGTAAATTGGGGTTCCCCCGAGAAGCTGCGAGAACTTGTCGTTGATGTCCAGTAGAAGTCATCAAGACCAGTCTTGGGATACAAAATCCAGCCTTAAAGATGGGAAAATGGCTCAGAAAATAGAGAAGAGAGAAGGAAGAACAGCTCCTGGCCTTCTCTATGAATGAAAACTTGTCCAAGATCCTGGAGAGAACCCAGTTTAAAGGATATTGTCAACTACTTAAGTAAATACCACTCTGTACATCAATTTCGCTAAAGTGTGTCGACGAGTCAGCATTTATTTGGTATAAATACCGCGCCGAAATCCATTACCGGCAGACTAAGGCTAGTGCAAAGTATCTCTAATGGGAAAAGCCCCTCTAGCTAAGTCTCCTCCAAGTGCAAACTTCCTTTAATGGGAAACGCCCTGATGGGAGTATTGAACGCCGCAGACTAGGTCCAGTGCAAACTACCTTCAATAGGAAACGCCCTTCTGGACCTGTCTCAAACCTAGCCTCTTCTGGAAGCATTGAACGCAGCAGACTGGGTCCAGTGCAAACTACCTTTAATGGGAAACGCCCTTCTCTCAAAGCCAGCTTCAGTCTTCAATCACGCCAAGTGTACAGAGGGTTCATAATACAGAGTGGCCTATAAGTAGTACGTCCTTCCGTAGAAGGGACGTCATGATACCATTTCTAGGGTAATACTATCATTATTCGATACACATCTTATTATACCTATACCAAGCGAGTTTCTCTCTACCTAAACCCCACCTACTCCCCCAAGTCACGCTCCTGTTGTGACGTCCCAGGACGAAACTTATAAGGCTTGTGACAATATTATAAACTGGGACACGTGACCTTCAGGGCCATCGGAAAGAGAAAGGATGGCGATCAAGGTAATTCAGATCACAGTGAGGCAGCCTTGGCGGTCCTTTTTGCTGCTATGGGAGAAGTAGATATTACCCTGATTCGGGAACCGTGGATTAGATATGGTGAAATTGAAGGACTGAGCAGTGCCAATCAAATTCACTGTCACTCCTCGGTCCTGTATATGTATTAAACATGTAACGATGTTACTATTGTTTTTCATTATTTTATAATTACAGGGTCCACGTAAGTATTTAATTTAGTTTGATTTAATTATTTGGATATTATAATATTTATAAAATGTGTACGCGTCTCCGAAATAGTCCGCAAAATGTAAACCGGCATTAAGCGCGCGCCCCACCGCGTCTCCCACTATTGCCTACCGAAACGCGCGCCGATCTGCCGACTATAAATTCCCCAGCGCGGCCTCCAGTCAGGGAGATCATTCCGCGATCTCCTCCGACCGACACCTACCGCCTGCTGGAGAGCATTCTGAGATCTCCCCCGTACACCGACCGACCGCCTGCTAGACCGCCGCACACACCGCCCGACCGCCGTCCGGATAAAAGGTAATTCTAGCACCCTACGCGACACAGCCTAGGTCCGTAATGTGCCGCGTCCGCTTCTAAAGGAGTAGATTAGGAGGTAGACTGATCAGGACAAGTCACGGCTGTACGTACAGACAAGTCCGGCAGGATATTCACATTCCTTATGTCCTGGTTGAACGTACGGGCATAGATCAGTTATATCTTCTACCCTGCTCAAACCCGCGAAAGGAGTTGGTTGGTATATACACTGGTCAGGATAAGTCCTGGCTGCACGAACGGACAAATCCAGCAGGACTACCACTTTCATCAGGTAATCCTTATGTCTCGGCTGAATGTACTGACATAGACCAGCTGTGTATCCTACCCTTCTTCCGAAAATGTACTAAATGCATTAAAGGCCGATGCTGGGTTTATTGTTTACATTTTTACCGTTCAGTTCTGGCTCCGAAATACCGCGCACCGTACCGAAAAGAGTTGGATAGTGGGTAGACTGATCAAGACAAGTCTCGGCTGTACGAACAGACAAGTCCGGCAGGATATTCGCATTCCTTATGTCCTGGCTGAACGTACGGACATAGATCAGTTATACTTTCTACCCCACTGACACACGCGATTCCGAATTTGTCGCGAGAAGCTTTCGGGGACTGGTTCTGAACATATAGAGTTTATTTCCGCTTCGCAGCTTTTTACCGTAACCGTACAACCGCCGGCTTTTTACCGTCACCGTACAACCGCCGGCTTTTTACCGTAACTGTATATTTACCGCTTTCCGCTTTGGCGCTCATATATTCGTACCGTAATCGACCGCACACACGACCACTCTCTCTCTCTCTCTCTCTCTCTTACCCGTACACTTTCGCTCTATGAGGAGCTGTTATAATTTAGGGACAATTTGGTTAAGGTATTATCAGACATATTTGAGTTTTCATTATTCTTTTCCTTTGTTATTACACAATGAGTAATAAATAGTTTATTTGTGATTATCTACCCATAATTGTTTTATTCCTTTGTCTGAGCATTGACCCCTGGTTTTTCTTTCTCCACTGTAACAAGCTACCTGGTGCTAGTGGGCCCTCAACCACTTTAATCCTGAGGGTGGCGCCCGAGATTACCGCTGGATTAACCGAAAGATAAATACCGACCGTTAAGCTACTATAGCTTAAGGAAAAACCTAGGAAAACCCGTTACAAACAGAACGTCAATGTACTGCCCCTAACTCTTTTTTGGTACATCGACGATAGAGGTGGAGTCTTTACTACAGTATAGTTAGGGAGCGAATGCAGCTTTAGACCGAATAACAAGATGGGTGGATAGAGAAGGGCCCCAACAAATCCACTATCGTGGCGTTTACCCGAAGGCATAAAATACAAGACCTGGAGCCTCTTAGATTAAGGGGTGAAAATATACAGATTTCGAGCGAGGTCAAGTACTTGAGGGTTACACTGGACTCAAAACATACCTGGAATCAACATCTGGAAAACATCACTAAAAAAGCAGTAACATCACTCATGATAGCCAGACGTTTATTGTATGGAAAATTATGGGGCTTAAGACCGGACATGCTCTATTGGACATACATGATGGTCAAACCTATCTTGACATACGCCTCCCTGGGTTCTTCTTCTTGGAACAGGGGAGCAGCGTTCCCAGGAGAATGAGTGTTCCGTCTTTGTTACTTATATTATCATTTGCATATCATTTAGAAAGACAGAACACTCGTTCTCCTGGGAACGTTGCTCCCCTGTTTCAAGAATAAGGACCCTGGCGCGGTGGTCTAATAAGACACTGCAGGGAAGTGCCATACGCCAACTTAGCAAAGTGCAAAGACTGGCCTGTTCAGGAATAACGAGGTCCACCAACGTCAGCCATGGAGACTCTCCTAGATTTCCCACCTCTATACATATGTAACAAAATCAATAACACATTTATATTCTCGGTTAAAATTCATTATTCGTGGGAAAAGTTTCATTTTTATAGATAGCTAAAATGTTACCCTTTGATGAAATTTACAAACACATGGAGTTCTGCGAAAGGTCTAATCTATTCGAGGGTAAAAAGCACTTAAAAGCCAGAGAAAAGTATCGAATTTTATAGCTTTAAGATTATTATTGCTGTAATCCAAAATTGGCAAGTATATAGGCAACATTTATGTTTTCCGAGATAAACACTAAACTTTAATCTCTCGACTAAACCAGACCCATGTGGTTGTAATAATTTATTCAAAGTCAAGAATAATCTTTGACCCACGTTTTATAATGAACCCAGATGTCAGAATGATATATTATATTCGAAGCCTATGTGTGTGTAGAGAAACAATAATTACATGAGCTGGATTTTTAAGATGCAATAACCAGTTGTATGATAATAATATAATTATCAAGGGTTATTACTATAGTCAAATGCATAGTTATAATAAAGATAGGTAGATTAAGATAGGAGTGATTACTCAATTATTTTATTATTATATTAGTAGAGATTTTAATTCATTAGAGAGTTTGGATCATTTCTCACCCTTGTTAATTAGGTTAGAATTTATGGAACTTTTATTCTAGGCAGTGGCTAAAGTAACAGAGGTGTTACTATAAATATATCTTAAAGTAACATCAAATACGACGTCACTGAAACTGAAGGCAGAACCGTTACAGAAGTGAGGTTATAAGCTAATAATGGGCAATGGCTAAATATAAACAACAATATTATGATGCTAAACTCTGGTAGTCGGCGGCTCCATATTCCCATTCCTCACATGCCCTTACCGAATAGGTAGCTAGAAAGAGGGGAGTGTGTGTAGGTATAGTTCTCTCCTGCAGGTGAAATTCGATCAATTACCAAAGAGAGAAACGAAACTTCACTACTCCAAGGGAATATACCTACTTAAGTATATGATTTTTCATACGACAAGATAATATACTTATTGATAATACCTGCATTACACATGAGGAGATATAGGATACCTATCGTAAAACTATGATCTACAGCGAAAAAACTTCTGCCAAGGAAGGAAAATAATTTACTTTCCTGCCTAGGGAGGGAAAATTACTATTTTCCTCCAATTCCTTACTTACTGAAAAGAAGGTAAAAAATTCACAATCTGACAGGGTCATAGGAAAATATGTCTTTCCTGTCTTGCCTATAGTGCCTGTTTTATAAGTAGGTATTCTATTCTATCCTTCAGTCAGGTTATTTTTTTATATATTTCCATTTTACTCTAAAACAAATGCCAACAACCAAGAACATCACCTTTACTTTAAATTACTAAAGAAAGTACCTATCTACATATTGCTATATTGACGTTACTTCAAAAAAATAATTAGAGTAACACCTCTGTTACTATAGCCCCTATTAAAAGTAACGTTGTCATCAGTGACGTCATTGAACTGATGTTAGTTTGAATTGAATTAATAATTA